CCCCGCCCGGCTGTCAAGGGGCTGCGAACAAAGAGGGGCATCTCCCAGAGAGGAGGGCTTGGGAGGTGGCTCGTCCCTCCCCTTCAGCGGGGTGGTGTCCTGCAGGGAGCTGGGCCCAGGATCAGGGAGGGATGGGGGGCACTGCAAGATGCTGTCTGAGTTGGCGGGAGGGGAAAAGGCAGTGTTGGCCCTGGGTCTACCAGGAAGGGGGTGGGGGGGACCTGCTGCCGTTGCCTGCCTCTTTGTCTGCGCAGGGAACTTGAACAAAAGGAGAAACTCGGATGAACTCCCATCTCTTCCTTTGGGTGAGCTCAGCTCAGTTTTGCAGCTTTCCCCCGGAGGGAAACCCCCCCAGACTTTCCCCACTGAGAGCCAGCAGCCCCTCAGTTTGGCCACAGGGTCCCTGCATTTCCTTCTCAAGAGTTTTAAAAGAGGGAGAAGGTAATGTCTAGGCTCCTCTGTTTTCTTTCTTCTCTCGCTCTGGGGCAGGCTTGGGTGAGACTGGAAGGAGCTGAGTGGGGAGAAGGCGGGGGGCTGGCAGACTCCCCGCTCTTTCTTTGTACTTTTAGGAGCACAGGCAGGTATTCTTTGTTGGAGCTGCAGCTCAGCCCCTCTGGATCCACTTGTGTAACAGAGTGGCGGGCACTGATCTGCATCTCCCCCTGTGCCCCTTTGCTTGGGATTTGCTTTGTTCAGGATCTTTAAGAGGTTGGGTGTATATTTTTCTGGGCGGGGAGGGGAGAAGAAAGAGCTGAGTAAGACAACTTCTGAGAAGTTATCAGAACAAGAGAGCTACGGGGATGGTGAGAGGTCTGTAGCAATTCTGTGGAAGGATGGGCTCGGATCTGGGGGAGTGCCAGGTAATTATGAGACCTCCCTAATGAAGATAAGGAAGGGCATGCACAGTGTGTAGAAGGACGTATAACTAATTTGGAGACCCTCAGAGAGGCCATTTGATTGAAGCTTTTGGGGGCAGAGAGAATTGGGGGCTGGAGTGGAGTTTGGATGGCCAGCTACCTAGGTGAATTAGTTTAGAGTCCCAGCAGCCTACTTTATTTCATCTTTTGTTTCGTTCCTTTTCTGTTGTAATATTTTTGACATTTACATTTTCTATTCAGTATGGCAACTTTAGAAGTTTTTTTGTTTACTGTGTGCTTTTCTGCTCTTATTTTACTTTCATCTGTTGCTTTTTTTAACAGAAACATTGAATAAGAACTGCTTCTTCCCTCCCTTTATCCCACTTCACCTTTCTCTCCTTTTCCTGTGTCATGTTCTCTTCCTCCTTTACTCCTTTCTCTTCCTTCCCCTTCTGCCACACTCCTCTTCTCTCCTGTATTACATAAGACTCTGTACTTTTCCAGTCTGCATCTCTTGCCACACATTCTTTAACCTCCCTTTTCCTCCTCTTGTACATGAGTGGGAGAAATTTTGGCCTTCTTTGCCTTCTCCACCAAAAATCTCATGGTCTGTTTTGTCATCTTCCCCCCAGCTGGGCAACCACAGATCAGCTTAGGGCCCTCTAGAATCTGTCCAACTGTAAGCTCTTTTTTCCCATGGCCCCTCCAAAATTATCCTTTCACACATGGCTTGTTGCACACATTCTCCTCCTTAACAATAGTCCCCTTTTTCCCCTTCTCCACATGTGTGCATCACCCTTTACTCTGTTTTCTATATACAAGCTTATTTTCTTCTCACATGCTCATTCCACCCATGGCAGAACCAACAGAGCATTTCATTCTATTCCTCTTCAGCACATGCAACCCTTATCTGCACCAGCGTGGCCCTCTCCCCTATATTTTCCCACTATTGTTATTAATGAAGGAACCACATCAGTGGTGGCAGTGGGTGGAAATACAAGCATATACAAGCAGTTGTCTTTAATTGCTCTGTCATTTGTTTTAGGAAGATTCAGGTCTCAACAATAAATGCAACCAAGGCCTTGGCTACATTAGTGTTCCTTGTAACAGCAAGAGAAGAGATGTAACAATAAGAGAAAGCTGTTATAGGCAAGGAAATAGAGCTTCTCCTGTCCCTAGCTTTGTGCTTGCCAAGTGCTTTCTCCCATACTTTCTTTGGAGTCATACATGCACTCTAAGTAGGTGCACTCTTAAATGTCCTGCTTTCTTCAGGTACCTTCAGGCTTTATTTCTTCCCATACCATTCTGTTCTTGGGATTTTGAAATGTTTTTTAGACTTCACAGCTGCTCTCTGCTGCTTGTCCTGTTGCCTTGGGGTTTGCCAATATGTAAGGTTATACGTGTAGAAAAATACGTAAGCCATTTTTGCACAATACTAAAAGCACAAAATAACAGTAACTCTCTGAATTCTCTGATAATACTTCTGCATGGTGATCTTACTAGATTTTATTTTATTACAGATTTGATCACCTTCTGGATGTAAAGTGTAGCTGAAATATTCCGAAGAGCGTCACTTTGTTATTTGTATTTTGATCCATGAATAGAGCAGCAGTTACTGTAGTGAAGTATTGCTGATGTATTGGAACTAACACTCATTTGTCTCATTTTTAATAGGTCAAAGTGTGTTGGAGAAGCGTGATGGCTGCCAAAGCACCTTAGAGCTGTACTGCATTACTGCTTAATTCAACTGTGGATATTTCGCTGGGACCTGGGATAGGAGAAACTGGGAATGAATAAAGACATCAAGCATCATCATTTGGATTTACACATCAGTTAATGAACTGGTAGAAGTAGTGGATGTGGCTTTTAAATCAGAAAATGTGCAGAAGATGCTGATGAAAATGTTTTGGAGTAGATCACTTTTTGACACTGAGGTTCTACCAGATAAAATAAGGTAAGATTACTCTTAAAAAAAACAACTACTTATCCATCAAAATATCAAATACATTAATTTTTGTTTTAGGCAAACTAGTGTTTGTTATTTTAATGGATATCCCTTTCTTTTCATTCCTACCTGTGGTATTATGTGGTGTAACCTGTGAGGAACATTTCTAGTTTGGAACATCTGTTTCTTAAGTTTAGACAAAGTTCTGTAAGTAATAACATTATTTCTGTTTCCTCCCCACCCAAGAGGTGTCCAGCACCCAGAGAAATCATTGACTTCCGTAGTAGTAGTTAGAACACTTCTAAACATCAGATGACTAATTTTGAAGAGACACGATTAAAAGTGATTTAACCAGAGCATCTTCTGTAATACATTTTTAAAAAAATGTTTAAAGACGTATTACTGTTTTGATTTCAGCTTAGTATGCAGGTACTTTAGGTTTAAAAAAGCAGATGAAAGCAACTACAAAAGATAATTTTTGTATCAGTTAAAATGTTTAAAAATTAAAATGACTAATTTTGTTTTCTATTTCTTAGTTTGGATTTAAGCATTCTTGCTAAATTTATATTTGCATCCCAAATGTTCCAGCTTTGTGAGAGTTCATGAGATACAGCCAGTGACTCTGACGCTTCTGTTTTGATTGCTCAAGCTGGCTGAGTGGCTTGCAAAAATTAAATAGAATTTATGAAGAAAAGTTAGGATGAAGTTAACTCATAAATCCAATCTTTGGTGCTGAAACCTAGGAGAGGAAATATGGTATCCCTAACTGAATTATGAAGCTTGTGAAGAACATAATTTAGTGTAAAATATTTTAAATTGAACTCCTTATTGATATTTTTGTATTTATAACACAATATGAAAACAGTTGCTTTTGATGTATGGTTTACATCCACTGATTGGTTCAGGCCTATAAAAGATGTAGGACAGACAAAAGCATACAGAATCTTAGGAAAAGTGATGAGCTGGTTGCCCTAGTTTAGAGCAAAAAAAAATAAATAGAAATCCAATAAATAATTGCATGCTATCCTATCCAGTTGTAAAGAGAGACCCTGTGGAGAGAAGAAGAATATGATGGAGACTACTTTCAAGTAACTTCATTAAGTGAAATGCAGATATTTCATTTATAGAGCTGTAAAGTTTTTCTCTGATCCCTTCAACCTGTTGTTGTTCTGTGTATACCTGTTTAGCTATGTGACTGCAGTTTGTGTAGGCATGGTGAAGCTAGCAGCCAGAAAAAGGTAAGAACACAGTTCCTGGTGATTCAGGGCAGGGTGTGGAAATCCATCTGGGACAGTGGATACATACTTGGACAGCTAGACTATACTGAGATCCATGTTGCAATGGTTACAGGGCTAAGTTGAGTTAGCTAGCTTGGTACCCCTGCATGAACTGCAGTCGCATCTTTGGATTGTGGCATGCACACCTTCAGTGACACTGCATGGACATCTTTTTAAGTAAGAAGCTTTTTTATTGTAAGAAAAGCTCTGTTTCATCTTTATCTTTTCTCAAAGTGAAAATAACTATGGGAATGACATAACTGGAAATGGACTCTGGAGAAAGAAGAATTTAAAATATTTGTAGAACAATTTCTCAGGTCATGGGCGACTGGTGCCTCCTGAGTCTGGGGGGGCACCAAATTGCCGACTGGGGGAGGGGGTACCCCAGCAGTCGATCACTGACTGGCAGGGTGGGTACCCCAGTGGCCTATCGCTGAGCCTGAAATCACCAATGGTGAAACCAGAAGTGCACTTCTGGTTTTGTGACTAGCGTTTTCAGGGGGTGCATGGCCAATCTCAGGGGGTGCATGTGCACCTGCATGCCCCCCCCATGAGTCCTCAGTGTCTCAGGCTGGCATGGATGGCTACAATTATGATGAGTTTGAGTCTGAAGAAGAAGTGACAGAAGAAAGTGGGGTTGTTTCTTCTGCTGCTGTTGCTGTTTTTTTCAAATAGTGGGGTTGGGATTTGGATATTATTGGATACTGGTGGCAGAGTGAGGGCTGGAGCTTGCTCTCTCCTTTGGAGAAAGCCAAGATGGGGCCCTGTGGAAATTAAAGTTTCGAGAAGTCCTGCTTTCTTCATTGGTCTCCCATTGTTGTGATTTATTATTGTTTTCCTTGTACTGTCCCTTTAAGGCCAAAGCCCTCATGCTCAGCACTGCAGGGTTCAGTAGGTTTGTGGCAGTTTTGCAGCACTGGGGACTCCTGGTTCTCTGCCATGAGGAGCCAGGGGCATTCTCTGTTGTTCTCCCTCCACAGGACTGGACTGGGTCAGGTCAGAGGCAGAGCAAGTGTAAGTTTTATGCATACATCTACTGAGGGCAACTGTTAAGATCCACTCTGGATGTGATTCCAGAGACTTAAAATAATAAATGAATGTTAGTACAACACAGACTGTCCAGAGTGTTGTTGCTGAACTTGCAACATATCACCCATGGCACCAGAATTGTTCTGTAGAGAACAGTGTTCCACAAGAATTATGCAGGGTTTTTGGTTGTAGCTGTGTTGGTCTAAGGACATAAGCAGGCAAGGTTCTTTGGGTAGATGTGATATTCGACCAACTGAGAAGTCAGAACAAAGCTCTTTGAAGCTTTCAGGCACAAAGACCCTTCTTTAGGCACAGGGAGGCTCTGTGGTTGTTGCCTGAAAGCTTGCAAAGCTACTCAGTTGGTGTAATAAAAGATATCACATCTACCCAAAGAACCTTGCCTGCCACAAGAACTATGAAACTTGAAGAACCTCAAATTTGCGCAAAATCCAATGATTTTTCAGAGAGATTAGGACCACTGGTGTGGAGATCCTGTGATTTACACTGGCTTAGGGGGGCTTCTCATTCACATTAGTGCAGAGCCAGTGTTATCTGAGTTTTCATTGCTGTCAACTGGCTGAGAACATTGTGCGTGAAGTGCAGGGAGAGTTTCTATGATATAGTTGGACTCTGCCAAATTTGGGCTGTAAGCCTTGTCATGATGATTTTTGACCCAAGGAGGGCTTTCAGGTAGTCCAGAGGAGGAAATCACAGGGAGAGTGCCCCAGGGATTGTTGTCCCATTTTGCTTAGTGGGAAAGTGGGAAGAAATTTTATTTATATATATGGAGGGAGCAATGTGGCTTATTGTTTCCATTTGTGCATATTTTATACTTGGCTTTGCTGCCACTGATTGTATTATTTGTTAGTTACTTTGTTTGATGCTGATTCAGATTGACAGATGTTTAGTTAATAATTATAGACAAAAATATGCTGTTCATGTTCTCTGTCCGCGTTCTATATGATTACACTTGTTTACCGCTAACACTTAACTTGAGAGATGAGAATTTTGCAATGAGGTATAAATATTGGGATGTGTTCTATCTTTGGCTTTTGTGAAGCTGAAGATTGTCCTCATTTAAGTGAGGGTAGCATATGCCCCTCTAAATGTTGCTTAGTCTTGGAAGAGAAGAGTTCACTTATATAGCTGCCTAAAAAAGATAATCAGTATGTTTAGAGTTCTCTCTCCAAATATTTAGGGGCAACTTAGCACGTAAATAGAACTTGCGCACCAGCCCACATTGCTGCACAATGCTAAGTGGTGGGTCAGGTTAGAGGTGCTTGGTTATTGGAACATGATAGTTTTTATCATCTTTGTTGTTCTCCTTGATTGTATTTATTGGTACATAGCTAGGTAGCATGTCCAACCCACTAGCAGGCTCTATTCTGATCTTTAGCGTCTGTATGTTCCTAATACGAAATTTGCTGCGAATCTTCTATGAGGCCTTAAGTAGCATGCAGTTATGCTTGATACCTTGGCCTTTTGTTGATTTAAAATGCATAGACATGTTTGGACTTCTAGGGGAGATTAAGAACCCTGTGCATTTTAATGGAGAATCGGATGTGCTTAGAGAGGAAGAGAAAAAACCTCCCTTTATGTCGTAATAATGCCACCACAAGTGCAGATTCAGAATGTGTATCTGTCCATATTGTGGAATAGATTGTCATGCATGCAGTACAGTACAAAGAAGGCTTGTGTCACTTGTGCTAACTCTTGATGTTGTTGTTCCAAGTGACCTAGGGAACCCTCCAAAGCAAATTTGATAAAATTTCCAAAAAAGAAGTAAATTGACCTGCCGTAAAGTGTGTTCTGTTTCATGTAATGCAGAAATCTTGATATTCCCCTTCCTATCCATTTAATAGCCTGTTTAACGTTTGGTGATATTTATAGAGCATTTAAAAGATGAAAAGCACTGTGTAAATTCTGAATAGTAGCACTATGGTAATATTATTGTTTTAAAAGTAAATGTTATTTCCAAAAAATAGAAATGATGAATCGGTGCCTTATTATGTCTAAGCAATTGGACATGAGTGTGAATGTTGCTAATTATCTTGTACACCTGAATGCACTGTTGGCACAAGGCCAAGTGTCTCAACCATCCAAAGATATTTCAAAGATGTTTAAGGGGAGCTTCTCCTAAGAATGAGGGGTAGTGTGGGAGCAAGCACAAAGGTGTGTGGTTTAGTGGCTGGCATAATGGGTGGATGAGAGGCAGGAATCAAGCTGTCATTACCAAGGTGGGGAGAGGCTTTGAGGGACCTTTGATATGAAGACCCAGGGGACTGATATTTGATGTAACGGAGAAGGGCAAGCAGTGCTCGGAATAGGGTCTAACTGGTTATGTGTCAGTCCACCTGTGCTACAGAGCATTTCTAATGAGAAAACAAGAGCCCTTAGATTCTGATAGGAATGATAAACATCTTGGGTCTATGTCATGAATGGGAAAATTATTGCCTGTTTGACATATGAAAGAAATATAAAGTTCCTTTTTTTAGCCCTACACATTTTAAATGAAATTCTTATTTGAAATAACTGCACTATCTTCAGCGGAGTTAGAAGAGGTTGATTTTATCCCTCTTGTATTTAATTTCATAGTACTACACTCTATAATGCAAGAGGTCATTTTGATAAATGCTGACATTTTGTCTTTCAGAAAAATCAATAATTTAATACCAATGTGACTAGTTTTGGAGTTATAATCGA